CTCCTCCAGTGAGACTGAGCCCCGCGGTCCCTCAGACCAGTCCCGGTCTTCCCACTCCACTGCAGCCGCAACTGGCGGGCCGCTCCCCGTATGTTTTTAACAGTCCTCCCATTTCATTGGCCGAATCTCTTTCTATACGTCTGCCCCCCGCCTTCTAGCCATCTCTCTCCCCTCGATCTCTCTCCTCCCCCTCGCCCCTAATTTTATCCTTCTCTTTACTTCCTCCGCAGTTCCCCTCGCTGACTTTGATCCTTATTCACCTTTCTCTATCACTAACACTCCTCTGGCACCATGTTCCCACCCTTCGCCGTCCTTTCCTACTTACAGACCAGCTCAAGGGCAAGCGTCATCGGATCAGACAGATGTGCGGAAAATAACTCGGGAACAGTGCGGTGCTACTCTTCCCTCCCCCTCTTATCGCCTGTATCTAACCCCCCTTCCCTCCTCTTCCGCCCTTCCCCTTTTGCCGCGGACAACTATTCCTTTAGGTGCGCACCTCCTACCCTTCCCCCTATTGATTGAAAGGGGGCCGACCCTCCGACCACCCCCTCCCAGCTCAGCGCATCGGTTGTTCCCTTGCGCCTCTACCGCCACCGCCGTCGTTACGCAAGCCTCCATTTACGCAGATAACACTTCACATCTGAATGGACAACCAGGACCTGGAATGACCGTCCCCTTCATCTATCTGCAACGACCCGGTTGAGATCCTTAACATCTAGACGGAACAAGTCGGATAGCTCCTATTGGTAACAGACTCGAACCAATGTCCAAAATTCTATTTTTTTCCCTTATCTGCTTTCTGATAGTAAACAGCAGCTGGTAAGAGGGTTTATCTTCTATAAAAAAGGTGGACAATCATCAAAATAGGTGGCAATAATAACACTATTCCCATCCCATAACTGTGACTTACAGATAATTCATGTGGCAGAGGACCAGGGTCCATGTTGTTCACTGAGAGTAAGCTTTAGCACTGCGTTTTGTTCCGAACACACTCTCAGTCGTACCATATGGAGTCTCTGGACAGTAAGCCAGGGAACCTCTCACAGCAGGTGATGCACAGGGACATCTGCAAAGAGGCCATTTAGAATGGAAACTTGCTCATCTTGTGATTGGACATTGGCTGGTGAGTTGAGGTTGGGTTGAAAGTGGCAGTACTTGCATGCTGACAAGTGACTTTCTCGGTCACGCTTGACGTCTTGCGTCAGTCTCTTGTGGAGTCTCTAGGACGCGCATCCGTGGTTGTTGGTTACGTCGTAACAGCTGTTAGGCGGGCCTCTCTCTCCCGCTGGACTCGGCAGCAATGTCCATTGCTCGTGATTTCTGTCGTACTGTGCAGGCGGGCCTCTCTCTACTCGCGGATGGACTCGCAAGCATTCTCTGCTCTTGATTTCTGTTACATGTTGCAGGCGGGCCCATCTCTCTCATCTGGATGGAAGCGAGCACTTCTCTCTCTTGACTTCCTGCCTACCCGGGCCTCTCTCTCCTCAAGGACTCGGCAGCACTTCGTTATTGCCTGGTAGCTTCGGAGCTGTGCGAGCCTAGCCTGTCCGTTTTCCCTGATTCTGCAGCGCATACATCTAGCTCTATTGCTACACGACGTCTCGCTAGTCGTGCTTCCCTTTTTTTTTTTTTCTTTTTTCTTTTTTTTTCTTCCGCAGTTTCGGGCGGAGAGGCGGGCGTTCCCTTGCCCGTCCTATCACGTAGTCGGCGTGAGAAACCGAGCCTCTCTCTGATCAGGAAGTCTCACGGGCACAACGTTCTCTCTCCGCTCTCTTCGACGCCGACGAAGGGCCTCCTCTGTCGATTGATCATCATGGGTTCGCCACAGGTGTTAGACTGGCACACGTGCGTATATGTCACGACGCGCGCATGCGCGCACTTACACGACGTACGGCCGGTACGAAAAATCGCGCCGTTCGTACCACTAGGTTAGCTCGCCTCCGCTCGCCAATACTACAACTAGTAGGCGAATGCATGGCATTTTGGCGAGCGGAAGCGAGCTTACATGGGGTCTAATCGTATGAGTCACTCTTGTGTGTGCCACAAAACAGTGAGATACATGCACAGGACCAAGTAGGCCGAAACGACCCGCGCGCAGTAGACAATTCGAGTGAGTCAAAAACAGTCAGCGACAGCGCGAATCAGCATAATCGGCAATCGTAATTGCGTACTGCACGGATAGAAACAAGTGGCAATGTTGTAGAAAATCTCTCGCTGGACTGTGCAGCATACTCGATAGCCTTCGGAGGTGTTGCGTTTTCGCTCGATGGGGCAGCAGCATATGAAAATGTGAATTCCCTTCGGGAGCGATAAAAGAAGCGCGTAATGCTGGAGCAGCGCAGTAGTTGGACGACGTACGTGACAGAGTTTTTATATATCTAGAGAAAAATCGCGCCTGTCTCGACCACCACTAGTTAGCTCGCTTCGACTCGCAACTGCTAGTGCACATAGAGGGTTGCCACGCCTTCTGTACTCAAGGCGCGAAGGCGCAGTGCGGTGCGCAAACGCTGCAATACGCAAGTGGAAGGGTTGACATAAAAAGGAGATACTCCACTGTGAGCACCACGCATCAGAATCGAGTAGCGGCTAACGCATGCGCAAGGGCCCGGACGATACTGCTCTAGCGCTGTTGTCAGTTTTTCAGTGGAGAAGATAAGGAGGGGTTGGGGGAAGTGATATTTCCAGGGAGCGATGACGACCTTGATGCAGAGCTGGAGGATGAAGAGTCTTTTGATGACCAGAGTGGTACGATATTGTAAAATATGCTCCAACAGAGGTATACACACATTTCAATGAAATGAACTGCAGACTCAGACATAGATATGGAGAGTATGCAAGTAGATGAAGGAGAGGAGATTCCACAGTTGAAAAACACAGTAGAGGAGGCAGACGAGTCGCTGCCTACCACAGCGAACAATGAGGGGGTTGTTCCGGGTTCCGTGCAGAGGGGGAGGGATAGGCGGAGAGTAAGAGCTAAGGGGAGAGAAATGGGTGCAGGGTCAGAGAGGGGAGAGGTACTGAGTTCGCACAGAGCAACGACGACTGAGGCTCGCAGAGAGAGAGAGAGGTTGTAGACGAAAGTAACACATAATTCACGTCTGCATTCCTATGCACCCTGCATGACAAAGCAATAATGAAAGTATAAATATACACGTACCTGTAACGCATTATCCCATTGGAAAAATTGTAGACACAGACGAAGAGACATCAGAGTCCGAGGAAGAGTGTCTCCAAGATGAGTGGTTGCCTCCCACAGAAACTGATCAGGGGGTAGTTCAGGGTTCTGTGCCGAGGGGGAGGGATAGACGGAGAAGAAGATCTAGGGGGAGAGGAAGAGGGGCAGGGAGGGGAGAGGCAACAGCTCTGGCTCATCTGTCGGTTTCTGCAGAGAGCGAGAGAGGTTGGTATGTACACAAAAGTATATGCATATGTACAACTGAATTCCTGGGAAGTACATATACACATTATAGTAAAGTACAGTGGAGTCTCTATTAACGGACACTCCCAATAGCGGACATCTACTGAATAACGGACGTGGTATATGCACCAACTGACGTCTCCATATATATAATACGATTAGCAGCACGAATAGCGGACAACCTCCGGATTCCGAATAACGGACGCGGAGGTCCGCACGCAGTAATAAAGATACATACAAAAAGTGCTCCGATAACGGACAGTGGCATCCATGTGCATGTATAAAATAGCTAAAGCTAGAGTAGTCCATTGTTTTAACATGTTTGCACTATCTCGTGATTCTTTCAATATAAGCCCGAGGTCCATAGAGTCGATAAATGCACGGAACCTCCAAGCCATATCCAGCTCCGTGGTTTACATGACTTCCAGTAACTTCCCACGAACCTTTGTTGCACTCTCTCTTCAAGAAGTTAGACAGTAGCGAGCTAATAGTGTAGGGAACATGCCCAACAACGTCGCCTTCTTTATGAAGCAACAGCAGACTTGTTCTTTTCGTGGTGGGCTCGCGTCTTAGAATTAGCACTTCCCTTGCACCGGAATCCAAATGTCTCTATAGGCATGGTAGCTCTAATGAAGGAGTCTGACTCAGCTACTGTAAAACTGACACTAGGTGTGCTGCGACGCCATAACCTCGCCCGAGACCTTCGCCATAGCTCGCTGCTGGGCCCGGGGCGGGAAAAGCTCACAGAGGACAATCGATCGAGCACAGATGCTCACGTGCAGTTCGGAGCACATGTAGTGCTCACAGTCCGTCTGCTAGAGTACGAGGTCATGGCACCAAAAAGCGGACTCATTTGTCGGTTGAAAGAAAGCGGAGGTGATTAACTCATTGCGCGCGTTAATGCGCATGCGTGAATTACTGCGTCCGCGTGGTTTTTTAGAGTTCCGTGCGTGCCATTTGTTTCCGTGTTTATACTGTTATACGTGTGCTTAGCCCGCAGACGAAGCCCAGATTCGTTCTTCGTGTGTGTTATAAAGCCTAGTGTCATCTTAGAGCCGCAGGAGGCCACGTTTCCTGGCAGATCTGCATTCATCGATCTTAGACGCGTATTATGCGCGCGGAAGGGGGGCAGCTGCTGCGCACACCAGCCCCGCCTTTATTTGTACATGCGCAAACGTGGCCCCACTCAAAGGTCAAAGGTGTAGCAAGGTCTGGCTGTGCCAGCGACTAGCGACGGCAACTAGGACGAAGAAGAGTAGTGAGTGTTCCTACGCGTCTATATAGAGTATCGCATCAATTATCGGACACCATCGCCCGGACACGCCGCTTCTGTCGGACCAGATTGTATTATATCTCTATGCTTTGTTAGGTACTTCAGTGGATGTTAGTAAGCGTACACAAAATACCAACTTCGACAGGAAACACAAACGTAATGGCGGCAAAAAGATTACTGCTGTCCGAACCACCGTCAGTCGGAAGATGACCCTTTGCTCTGACAGTGCTTTTTCGCGCTTAATTCACTGTAGGAAGTTTTTGGAAGACCAACAAGAGCTACAGGAGTAAACACATCTCATCCCGATCGATCAGCTTAGCGCGCCCGAGCCGGCCACACCCCTTAATTAAATAATTATCATCACCCGCGCGCGCATTGTGGGCTAAAACTTTGACTCGGGAGACTTGAAACCATGTCAGTTCACACACAACATTGACACACCCAGTCATCATGGACCCTATCTATTGATACAAAAAAGATGAAACCACTTGGAGCAACTGTCACACTGCACCCATTCAACCACTAACTGGTCACACATAGAAACGGAACAGGGAGAAGCTTCACATATCTCTTCAGCAGTGTCAATATTCTTGCGAGGAAGCTTTGTACCTGAAGATAAAAAAGGTATAATATCTAAATTGTGGGCAAATAGGTGTGGTACCTTTCTTTCTGTTGGCTCGCTCTCTTGTGCCTTCTTCTTTCGTTCCTCTCTATCAACTTTCCTCTTCTCCTTTAGTTCAGCTGCCTGTCTTTTTTTTCCTTCCTTTTCCTCCAGCATTTCGACACATTCTGTACTGGTCAACACCCGTGCACCGGTGTGTTTACACTGCTCCTTTTTCTGTCACCTGGAGCACTTGGTATACACAGAAATTTAGCCAGCTTAGTAGACGGTACAGCTGGAACACCAGTATCACAAGCCACTGTAAGAAAGAGCAGGAATAAGAGTTCTATGAAAGGTAATATACAGTACAAACTTGCCTTCTTTTTTATTCTGTAGCCACATATTGTATCGAGTATCGTGAGTCAAATCATATCTATTTGCATAACGGCGGGAAAAGAGTGCCTCTTCATCAGGTAAAGCAGAGTTCTGCCTTCCCTGCTTAGGACGGAAAGATGAAACACAATTGGATAATAGTAAATCACCACACACAGCAACACCCACAACTATGTATACAATACTACCTCCATATATTATACCTGTGTACCGTAGGAGGCTTCTTTCACACCACACTATTTATATTTATCTGTCAAACACAGCAGAGGGGCTATTACCTTTGTGTAGTTTGGACTGAGTTTTAGTCTTCTCTGCAACACAACCTTCTCCACCACAATCGTAACCTTCGGCCTCATCTGGAGAGACAACATAACCTGAGGAATGAACAACAAAAGGAATTTCCCCCACCGATCCTGTCTCGTGAGCTCATCAAACTCTTCTGTGTGCCTGTCCGCACTATCTGCAAATGGCTGTCTAACTCAGTCTCTGCTGCCTCTTCCTCTGCATGCACACCACATTCTGTTCCGGTCACCACTGCTAACAGATACACAAGGGGGTGGGCATTAAAACAAGGAGGGAGAAAAAGAACAATACCCTTCTTTCCTGCTTGGTCCTTCAACGCTTTCTGTGAACGTGCAAGTGCTCTGCTAGGACGGCTGGCATTGCTTTCTGCTTTCCCGTCGGTACCCCTCACACCACCCTTGCTCTGTGTTCTGGTTATAGCTACATAAGAGAAGTGAAGAGCACTGTATATACCTGACTTGTTAAAATGAGCAGAGGGGCTATTACCTTTGTGTGGTTTTGACTGAGTTTTAGTCTTCTCTGCAATACAACCTTCTCCACCACAATCGTAACCTTCGGCCTCATCTGGAGAGACAACATAACCTGAGGAATGAACAAAAGGAATTTCCCCCACCGATCCTGTCTCGTGAGCTCATCAAACTCTTCTGTGTGCCTGTCCGCACTATCTGCAAATGGCTGTCTAACTCAGTCTCTGCTGCCTCTTCCTCTGCATGCACACCACACTCTGTTCCGGTCACCACTGCTAACAGATACACAAGGGGGTGGGCATTAAAACAAGGAGGGAGAAAAAGAACAATACCCTTCTTTCCTGCTTGGTCCTTCAACGCTTTCTGTGAATGTGCAAGTGCTCTGCTAGGACGGCTGGCATTGCTTTCTGCTTTCCCGTGGATATCCCTCACACCACCCTTGCTCTGTGTTCTGGTCATAGCTAGTATGCAAGAAAGAACGGTAAAGGAATGGAAAACATCTGAGTGAAAAATGTCTGTTTCTTTACCAGCATTTTTCTTCATACTCTTGTGAGATTGGGTCTGAGTTTTGGCTTGTTCCTGAGTGCTGCCTTCTCCCAGAGTCACATCTGTATATAAGGTAATGAACAAAAACTGTTTCTTACAGCAGTTCTGTGAGAATGTCTGAAGACAGATACCTAATGGCTCTGTAGCACTTTCATCACCCACAGCACTATCTTTCTGGTGCTCTTTGGTGAATACTGTGAGTGAACGTACTGAAAGTGGTAGGATAGATGGTCAAACCTGCTGTCCTCACTGTTTCCTGAATATCAGTCTCAGAACTACCATCATCTTCACTCTCGGTTCCATAATATGCCCTACCCATGGCTGCTGAAAAACACAACACTAAAGGTATTTGGTTGCAGTGTAAACGACACTCACTTGTCTTTGTTGTTGGGCCCTCATGTGTCTCAACATTTCTTTGTGGGCTTGAAGGGCTACCAATAAGGCTTTCCTCAAAATCTACCAATATTGTAAAAGAACACTCAAGTATTTTTCCTCCAGGACATAAAGAAGGGGTTTGAGAACCTTAGGAGCTGCGTATGCCTGGTTATCTAGTAATATTATCCCGCACGGTAAACACAGCAACAAAAAACTTAACTTTAACACATACTTCGAGGCTTCCTCCATGACCAAGCATACAACTTGCACCTGCCCACACATATACATACATACTGGGCGTACCTTGCTCATCATAATCTGGCCATATTGGATCATTCATGTCAGCAGACACATCATTGGCAGTTGGGGAATAACAGAGCTCCCGGGAGAGAGGCCCTCTTCTGTCGGATGCACCTTGGGCACGCTGGTGTGACTTTGAGAGGAATGGCATATATTTGATGCCACCCCTTCGTGCTACGACAGCTGTTGGAGTATTGGTGAGTGCATCATATCCTGGAACATGTATTGCTCTGCGGTTGAGAGGGAAAACTCCAGTTGCTTTGAACCCTGAGACAATTGTCTGTGGAGTCATTGCTCTCGACCAAGCTAACGAAAAAAGTGAAGAAAACTGGTAAATTGTGATTAGCCGCCCTGGATTGGCTGACATAAACTTGTCACATTCAGAATCCCAGTATGTCTTCAGTGAGTGAAAGGCCGAAACATCCAGTGGCTGTGTAATGTGCGTTGTGTGGGGTGGGAGACAGAAGACAATCACTCCCTCTAGTGTAGCCTCACGGATGAACTCTAAACTGTAGTGAGACGAGTGGCCATCAAGCACTAGTAGTAGTGGTCGGCTTGAAGGTACATGCTGGAGGAAATGGCGGTGGAACCACTCTTGAAAGAGCTCTCTGTCCATCCATCCACTCGCGGACAACCCATAGATGGTTCCAGGAACTTCCTGCGTTGTTAGGTGAGGGGTGAGGGTTTTTCGTGGGAAGATGACCATTGGCGGAATGGCATAGCCTGAAGCACTAACACAAGCTAAGACAGAGATGTGTGCTTTATTACCTGAGTTCACCACGTGCACATGCTTCTGACCGCGTACAGCAACCCTCTTTCCAGGCCGATGTTGCAGAGGGAGACCAGTTTCATCAGCATTGAAGATGAGGTGGGGTGCAAAGCAAAGGTTGTTCGACACCAGCACTTCCTCAAGAAGGTCGAAATATTTGTCGATTACAAAACGGTTAGTGCTAACAGCGCGATGGTAAGCAAGCGATTCCCCAGTGCGGAGGGTTAGGTGGGGGTGGCGGGCACGAAAACGATCCCACCACCCGTGACTCACAACAAAATTTTCAAGATTATTCTTAGCTGCCACGATTGCTCCTACAATGCTCCTAACCTCCCTCACACTCTTAGCATACCCAATTGAGGCACACCCCTCAAGCCACCTAACAACTTCTTCCTCCTCCTCTACATCCAGATAACGATGAGCCCCAGGCACAGCTCCAGGTTGTACACGTCCACTAACGCGATCATGGAGAGTAGATTTTGGAACTCCATACTGACTTGCTGCCTCCCGAACTGACATACCCTCACTTGTGGCACGAAGCGCATGGTCCATCGCCTCCTCAGTCCAAAGCTTCCTCCTGTTCTGTGGTGGTGCATAATGGGGCAGCTGTTTTCTCCCTGACGAGTATGTCCAAGACCCCCGGAAAATCCTTTGATTCAGTGGAACAGTTGGATGTCCCTGTAGTGCAAAAATTTGGAGTCTAATTTGCATGCACCCAGCGAATGAACAACCCTGATACACTTTACCACGCACCACACATATCTGCACAGTCTGCTCTAAAAGCACAGCATACAGCGCTTCCACTGAGAACACTACACTGCTTAATCATTTGTCCTCACCCCTAGAACTTGAAACATGTCGATCAAGTGGGCATAGATACAGTCGTTTCCTGCAGCAGACTCCCTCCTTGCTTCTAACCACGTGCACGATAGACTGCGCATGCGCATTCTCAACCATGCGGGGTATACCGGTATAGTTGGCGCACGCAAGCTGACGGGTAGATCTCGCCCAGGCCCTGCAGTGTTTGTGATATATGAAAGGTACTGTGGTCCGATAATTTTATGGTGTCCGGTAAAGAGGGGTGTCCGGTGATTGATGAAGTACTGTATATGCCGATCGCGTTGGCTAACATCCGCGTAACGAATCTACAAGTGGCTGATATTCTGAAAAATAAGAAGACCATCCTAGCTGCCTATGAGTCTAACGCTTCAACTAGCAAAAAGGGTCGATTGTCTAAGTTCTCGGACGTCAACGAGCGATTGTACGAGTGGTATACGATGGCCTGCTCCAAGAATATCTACCCGGGAGGCCCACAATTAATCGCTAAAGCGAAGAAAATTGCCGATCGTCTAGGGAAATCTGATTTGGTGGGAAGCGGAGTATGTGCAGATTGCATTTCTGGTCAATGCTGATGGTGAGAAGGAGAAACCGATTGTTATTTGGACCAGGTGAGTGGGAGGCACCTAAAACAAAACACCCCAAGAAAGGACATACCCCGAATAACGGACAAAGGCCTATGTACCAAAGTGTCCGTTATTCGGAGACTCCACTGTACACACATATTCACATCCAGATTCTTTTGTACAATCGTTACTTCCTTGGCAAAAAATTGCAGCAGATGAGTTGCTGCAACCCACAGCAACAAATGAGGGGGTTCAGGGTTCGGTGCAGAGGGGGAGGGGTAGGCGGAGAGGAAGATTTAGGGGGAAAGGGAGAGGAATAGGGGCAGGGAGGGGAAGAGGTGTAAGACGTGGTGGAAGGGGGGAAACTCAGGCTCCAGTGCTGCATCCTTCAGATAGAGAGGAAGGTAAGTATACATACATACAGTAGAACACACAGCTTATACCTCTGGATGTGTAGGCTGGAGCATGACCCCCAGTCCTATCACAGTGGAGCCCTGCACTGTGCCTCCAGGGCCACAAGTCCAGACCAGCCGTGACCCCTTGGAGATGTTCTCCAAATTTTTCGACAACAACCTCCTGTCTCTCATTGTACGTGAGACAAACAGGTACGCCGCACAGTTCCTTGCTGCAACAAGCAGTAGTCACACATGGGAGACTGACCTGGAGGAGCTGAAGGCGTACATAGGGTTTAGGGTGGTGATGGGGGTTTGTAAACTCCCTGAGATCCGGGACTATTGGTCGACCGACCAGAAGCTCAACAACTCCTTCATCTCGTCCCGCATCACTCGTAGCCGGTTTGAGGAGATAACGCGGTATCTACACTTTGTGGACAACGAGTCTCTGCCTCAAACCGGTGAGCAAGAGTTCCACCGGCTGCAGAAGGTGATGCCGGTCATCACAGAAGTCAAGAATAAATGCGTTGCCAACTACAACCCACACCCTCAGAACTCCCTTGATGAGGCGATGATCAAATTCAAAGGTTTGTAAGTCAAGAAAAGTGTACGTACAATCGAAATTTCCTAGTATCTTAGAGGGAGGGTCCTCCTCTAATATGCTAAGACACTTATTGTAGTAGGTCACACATATTATGCCACGTTTTTCACACACAATATACAAACAGGCCGATCCTCCATGAAACAGTACATGCCCATGAAACCTGTGAAACGAGGCATCAAGGTGTGGGTAAGGGCTGACGCAGTCACAGGATACATATGTGACTTTGAGATCTATGTCGGGAAGGCATCAGATAACAGCCAATCAGCCGCAGAGGTCCTTCAACTCACGGAGTGCCTGAGGGGGAAGAACTATCACATTTATGCTGATAACTATTTCACCACCACCCGCCTACTCGGTACTCTCCGCACCCATGGCCTATATGGTTGTGGAACAACTCGCTCTACGAGACGAGGGTTCCCGGAGACCCTCAAGAGTGTTTCTCTAGAGAGAGGAGAACACGCGTTCTGCCAGAGGGGTGATCTTGTGGCGTCTGTCTGGATGGATAAGAAGTCAGTCACCATGCTCTCAGGCAGACGTCACACACACTGCACAGAGAAGGCAGAAGGATGGCACGAGGGCCTCTGTGCAGTGCCCTGACGCGGTAGTACTGTACAACAAGTACATGGCGGGTGTGGATAAAAGTGATCAGTATCGACAGTACTACCGTGTCAGATGCAAGAGCCGCAAGAACTACATGTACATTTTTGGTTTCTCTTTGATGTTGCTGTAACCAACTCATTTATTTTGTCATCTTATTCACCCACCACCATGCCAAACAGTCTCCAGCGGCTAAAGGCCTTTCGCCTGCAGCTTGCTGACCAGCTGGTTGGCAGCTACAACACCAGGAAACAACCGGGTTGTCCTCGCTCCCGGCCAATGTATCCTCCCCCTACACTCCCTTCCCAACTGCACCTCGGCCCTCCCCCCACACAGCGGTCACGTACGGCCAACCACCTTCCAGTACGCCACGACTACAAAAAACAGTGCTTGTACTGCTACCAACATCGTGGGGAGTACACACGTAGACGTGTGGTCTGGTACTGCAAGGACTGCCCAGGTCACCCAACCCTCTGCTTTACTGGGAGTGAGGATGGCTCAGATTGTTTCAGACTGTGGCACCAACATTGTAACATGTCCCATCAGTTATATTAGTCATTCTTTCCATTTTCCTCTTCACAACATGTTAGCCACTCTCCCTTCACAACTTCTTTCCTCCTCACTCTCCTATTTTTTCCCACCTACCTACCCACTGTTGCCCCGGCCTTCTCTCTTCCTTCATTCCTTTCCATCTCTTGGTATACACCCTCTCCCCCACTCTCATCCACTTAGAGCACTCTCTCTCTCTTACTATTGTTATACGCTTTATGTATTTACATATCCCACTTTGTGTTGTTAGTGTCATGCATGTCCACAAGGGGATGCATGTGTGTTGTAACTACGTTCTATGTTGTGTGTTTGGCTTTCCAAGCACACGTTTGTCACTTGTTCTTGTATTGTTTGTCCTGTTTGTCCTGTCCTGTCAGGCAAATCAGTCGACCTCCCCGTGGTGCCTGATGGTAACAGCACCGTTTGTGCTGGCTAACTGGCTGATATATAAATTATATCCCCTCAAGAAAACTTCTGTACACGAAAACATGCGGAAAAGTACAAGCAAACATGCTGTACATTTACCATACCTTCGTTTGGGGGTTGTAATGGTTGTAGAAGAGTTCCTAATTCAGGAAAGGAAGGAATAGGTGCCACACGCGCCAATCCCGCAGCGAAGTTCCTCTTCTTTCTTCGAGAAAACGCGCTGCGTTCTTCGGCGTACAACGCGGGGCTGCGTGCAATTTCGCGCATGCGCACCGCAAACGCATTCCAGCATTACGCGCTTTGCGCAATTGGCAACGTAACGCAATAATTTGGGCCCCAAAGAGTTTTAATGGACATACTACATGTGTCGGTGTAACTCACAATTGGTAAGAGCTATGTGAAAGAAAGTTTTATACATAATGAATTCAATAGCCAACATCAAAATCACGTTTGTAAATAACAATAAATAGCCTCAGGCACTTTTCTTTAAATAATACTTCTTCACTATTCGGGAGAGGGGAGGGAAAAGAAGTCTCTTATGGAGGTCTGAGTGCTGGTTGTAGCAAATAACTGCAGTAGCTGCCTTTCCAGTGTATAAAACTGCTCCAAATCAGCTCCAGATTTCTCAAGGAAAGAACGTAGCATCTGCATGGCCTGCATAGCCTCCCAACGCTTAGGAGTTGGTGATGCTGAAGCTGAGGTCTCATCATCATCACTATCATGGTGTGATGTCTCACCATGATCATTTTTCTGTAAGATCTGGGTGCAGCCTCTGTAATTGACCATGGCATTCAAGTGATATGTCTAAGTCAACAGGTTTGAAATTCACTTGATAACATTCCAGTGGGGGGATTCAATGCCTCCTCTTCTACAGGAGTGATTTGAGCAATAAACCCAGCCTTAGCAAAGCAATTTGTAATAGACAGTGGTTTTACATCACTCCATGCAACCTTCAGCATGTGCATGGCATCAAGCATGTTCACCTGACGAGAGAGTTGAGTAACGGTGATTGAGGCTTTCACCATCTAGATGTGACACAATTCTAGAAATCATGCTCTTTGAAAGTGCTTTTAATACGAATTATCCCCATGTCACCACGGCTGTATCAAGACGTAGGAAGAAAATAGACAGCACATTGTAAGCTCAACACCACAATCTTTGGGTGCAGAGCAATTATCAACCAAAGTGCAATATGGCGATCGTTTTACGATATCCGGTTAAGCTCGATCAGCCACTTGCGAAATATTTGGATGTCACCCACGCACTGGATTACTAGTGTAGGGAGTAGGGCAGTGTAGGTATCTCTGAAACGCCGAGGCTGTTACTCTTTCCTATGACGATAATGGCCGTTTGTCACTACCATCCATATCCACACACACCAAAACAGTTACCCTATCTTTGGCCTTTTTACGCCCATAAAGCTATCAGTAGAAAAACAAAGAGTACATCAGAGATAAGCGGAAATATATACCAGTTTTATCTGCATGTTGTAGATGTCACGCAGCGAGTACTCACAAGCAACTCGGCATAGAACGTGCTGTCCAGGTATCGGCGGCCACAAAATCTGCGTCGTTCTGCTCCCGGGCTTTTTAACATTTAATGCCGTGCCTGCGGTTCTGTCCACGGCAAAGCCACCTATTCGTAGATTCTGTAAAATTTTTCTGACCCAAGCCTAGATAAGGACGAGGCGATTAGGGGTGTGCCTTTTCTCGAGATGCGTAAGTGGAAGATGGGAGCATTCCGTCTGTGGTGCTCTAGCGTCAACGAACCAGGTATAGCGCGCGGAATCACATCATTGTCTGTACTGGCTCTCTCCGCTTAGAGTGAGCAAAACTTGCTTTCCTCTGCCTCCTTCAATAGTGATCTCGAGTTGGTAAGCTGAGTAGATTGAGCACAACTAAACGCTTAGCCAATTCAGCTGTGGGAAGTCGCCTCTCTTCCATAACAGAGCCATAGTTCCAGCTTTTGACCAAGCGTGTCAAATCGGTCCTGCGTCGGCCTTTTTTTTTTTGGGGCGTGGGGGGTTTTCGGGCGGGGTGGAGGGGGGGGGGGGGGGGGAGTGGGGCGGGGGAGGGTGGGGGGGTTGGGGGGGGGGGGGGGGGGGTTGGGGGGGGGGTGGGAGGGGGGGCGGGGGGTGTGGGAGATGTGGCGGGTGGGGGGGGGGGGGGGTGGGGGGTGTGGGGTGGGGGCGGGGGTCTGGTGGGTGGGGGGGGGGGGCAGGGGGGGGGTGGGGGGGGGTGGGGCGGGGGTGGGGGGGTTGGTGGGAGGGTGGGGGGGGGGAGTGGTGGGGGGTGGGGGGGGGGGGGGGTGTGGGGAGGGTGGGGGGGGGTGGGGGGGGTGGGGGTGGGGTTGGGGGGGGGGGGGGGGGGTTGGGTGGGTGGGTGGGGGTGTGTGGGGTGGGGTGGTGGGTGGTGAGTTGTGGCGTGGGTGCGTGTTAATTTCTGTTTTTTTTGGTGTGTTTTTTTTGTTTTTTGTTTTGTTTGGTCTGTTTTTTGGTTTTTTTTTTTGTGTTTTGCTTGGTTTTTTTTTTTTGCTGGGATGCCATTTGACAAAACTGCACGTGGCTTCAGCCTGACTGCGCCTTTGCATGCTGCGCAGTATTCATATAAAGCGGTTGGTATGGAGCCCATGTGGGCATTCACACGAGGCGGACTATGATCTTATTGGGTACTGACACTATGCGGGGTGAATGTATACATTGACATACGTGAAATGTGTGGATTTCAATTTCTATTATAATAAACGGATATATTCTACGGCAAGAGGATAGATCTAAAGTCGTCCCACATTCACAAACCTTCTGGTTTTCTGAAATAGAGTAGTAACCACAGATTCTAGGCCATTGGGATGTAACGGATCGAGCCTGCACAGTTGAGTAAGCAGAAAACCGACGACTAGCTCAGCATCATTCCTTACCATTTCTGATTGTCATTTGTCATTTACGAGTGTACTGCTGTCCTCGACATTCTCTCTCCTGAGCGTTTGAAGATGCTATCTCTCGCTTTTCGTTTCTTCCAGTAGCATGTAGAGCTTGTAAATCAAAACACATTGCTCTGC